ATTTAGTCCATTATATTGTCAGAAATGGAAATCCAAAATTTTTCTTAGAAAATATGTCACTCATGCAGGAACCTTATAAGGCAGGTAATTTCTACTTTAGCAGTCGGTCAGGTATGTTTTACAAACCTGTTTTCTCTTTCCTTCTGTTTCTTCATGTTTGTTTAGGGGGTCCCTGAAGAAAATCCTCCTATAAATTGCATAGTTGTCATAACTGAGCATAAATTGAATGAAAGCTCTGTAAGAATAGCAATTATTGCACTGCATAATGAGATGATCATCCAGAACCACATCAAGTTGAGAGAAAAATAAAGGCTATGGGATAACTGATCAACCTCATTAATACCCTTCTATCAAGATTAGAGCCATCTTCTTTCACAATTTTGCAATTTAGTAAGAGCTAGAAGTTGTTTCCAAATAGATGATCTCCCTGACTTGGGATGTAAATTTAAGTGGAGAAGATTCTGGTAAAGCCGGAGAGGATATTTCAACATAGATGCTTTGTCAACTTAGGTCTTTGTGGGCAGCTTCTGAATAATTCCAGTTCTGACCTTTTACAAAGATCCTTGCAATGCTTTAAAGAAAAAAAAAAATCCTCCAGTGAAGGTAGTAGGGCAGAAAGCCCTGCCAGACTCTCTATCTTCTTAAGTTAGAAAGAATACTTTTCTCTTTCTTAAAAGGGCTTTAAGAGGACCAACATATAATGATTGACTTAGGATTTTTTTTTTTTTTTAATTAATTTATTTTTCCCCTAAAGCCCCAAGCGATAGTTGTAAGTCATAGTTGCACATTCTTCTAGTTGTTGTATGTGGGACGCGGCCTCAGCATGGCCGGAGAAGCAGTGCGTCTGTGTGCGCCCGGGATCCGAACCCGGGCAGCCTGCATCGCAGCGCACGCACTTAACCGCTAAGCCACGGGGCCGGCCCTGACTTAGGATTTTTACTGCGTCTGGGAGGCTACTGATGGCTCTGGCTTCTTTTAGTATGCATGAGGCCAGCCCCTTTCTGTGCTAGGTCTTAAATAAGCATGGTGTTAATAACACACCCCATCACCTCACTGGTAATGTTTCTAACAGCTGGTTTCTTGGGAGGATTTGCAATATCAAGATCTCTTCTGCAAAGTGACACTGCCTTTCAAAAACGGCCATCCAGTCTTCTTCCCCACTGCCCCCTCATGGCTCACACATAACAGGAACCCCATGAAAATCTGTTAACCCTGGGTCCTGTAATCATCAAAATACAGCCTAGTATTTTCATAATTTTTTAGTAACACTATTTTTTTCCCATGTAGAGTTTACCTTTCAAAAGCACAAGTAGATATTCACTTTATAGTAATGTATGAGGCATAATTTTATGATGTCCTTCCAAAAGCAAAATAGGTCTATCTTGGCCTGCCCTTATGTCCAGGGAAATAATGGTGGCAGCACGTTGTTGCTGATAGGCACCTGGTGAGATGGGTCAAAAGGGAGCCTCACTTCCTTGGCCAGTTGGTGGAGTATTACAACTGTGTTTGCAAATCACATTAAACCAGCCTCGCCTTGTGGAGGAAGAGGAGCTTTGCTGACTGGCACATTCCACATCTGGCAGCCCTCCCAGTGTCAGGGCCAACGGCCTCTTGTGATGAGATGTAGCCCTTCCCAGCAGGCTTGGCACATGCCCACACTTCAGCGGCTATAGTCGAGCTTTGCTTCATCTTCTGGTTTATGCTACTGCACTTCTTCTCGGAGCATATCAGAGCTTGACAGTTTTATATTCTCCTGTTGTGGGTGCATCAGTTACGGCTGGCTCCCTCCTCAAGCCCTAGTCAAAATTTGCATCTTTAGAGTGTGACCTTTATTTTTACCAGGACTCCAGAGCTCCAGGGGCTCTGCCAGCCACCACACAGTTAGCTGTGGTTTCTGTGATGTGTGACATAGAACCTATTTTCATCCAACTTGGACCCAATGCAGAGGTTCTGACTCACTGAAACCTTGATATAACTGCTGTTGTTTGGGCTAGCCTGATTTACTCAACTTTTTTTTCTCCTTCCAGTATCCTTAATGTGGAGGATTCTTTCTATTTTGATTCCTAGATCATAATTTTTTGTAGATTAAAAAAACCTCAATCGTCTTTGCCCCTTCATAACTTCTCAGCTTATTCAATGGCATTGGTCCTTAGTGACCACTTCTGTCCCCACTAACATCTCCCTGGTGGCTGGTGGTCGGCTCCTCCATCTTTCAAGTATCTCCTGTGGGTTACACATAATCCTGCAGCTCCTGCCCTAGGCAGTTGACGTGGTCCCTTGTCCTTTGTTTCGCTGCTCAGCAACTGACCCCTTGCCATGTTGTGGGGCTCCTCTCCCAACCTGAGACTGGAGAGGCAGAGCTCCCAGAGAGGGGAAGCACCCATTCTCACTTTTCAGGCACCTCCAGCAGCCAGCCTGGGGATGTGGGGAGTAGGAAACCCAGGCTCAACCAAGAGGAGATAGCTATTCACTCCTGGTGTTTCTCATCATCTAAGTGGGGACCCTGGTGGTTCTTTTGGACGCCACTTGCAGGCCAGAGCATGGAGACCTGTGGTTGGCCTTGAGTCCAGCGGGGGTCAGGGGACCAGGCAGTCTGCTCACTGGTGAGGGGGGTGTGGGGGGGTGCACAGAGAAACAAGGACTGGCAGAGGGAGGGAGCTCAGGGAATCTGAAGTCTGGAGCTCAGGGAATTCCGGGCTCCTGGGTGTCTGTAACAGTCAGTCTTCTTGGCTGAGCTCTAGGAGGTGGGCAGAGGCTGGGGGCTCAGAGCCCTGAGAACAGAGGGCTTGCTGGGTGTACACTGGTTACATGATAAGAGACTCAGAAGCGCCTTTGCCTTCAGGGGGAATGCGGGGCGGGACCCTGAACCCTCGGACCATTTACCCGGTGTTGCCAAGACTCCTTGCCCTCCTGCCCATGTCCTGTCAGAAGCGACTTCACTGCAGAAGCTACAGCCAGGTAGGACCTATGTTGTCCAGATCGGCCCCTCCTTTCCCTCTGCAGACTACTGCTGGACCTTCCAGGTTCCCTTCCATCCCTTTCTTTCTCCTCCCCCAGCACCCCTTTTGCTGATTATTTGCCTGAGCCTGGACTGTCCCACAGCAGCTGCCCGGGATCCTTCCCACAGAGGGGCACTGGCTTGGTGGGCAGAAGGGTCTTAGCCTGGAGAGGTGCACAGTGTGCTGGGCCCCCGACCCCTGCACTTTGCTTCTCCCTGTCTCCCCTGCCCCCCTTGCTGATCCCCCTTCTAGTCGAGATCAAAGCAGGGTCCTTCACCTTTTCTGCATGAGTTCCTCTAGCACTCCTTTGTCTCATGTTCACCCCACCCCGCTCCCTTGGCTCTGTGTTCCTCAGGACCTCTCCGTGGACACTGCTATGTTTCCAGAGAAGATGAGTAATGGGATGCTGAGGGGCAGCTGTGACAAGGAGGCCATGGCAGTGCCTGAGGAAGGCTCAGCCCATGAGGGGATCAGCCCCACCTTCGTCTTCCAGGAGACCTCACTGTGATCTGGACTGAGGGCCCAAGGCCTCTGTCCACACTCTGCCAGGCACTCCCCCTCACCCTAAACCCTTTGTCTCTCGAAGACCAGGACCAATTCACTGTGTCTGTCCTAGGCAGAGGGTAGAGCTGTCACATACAGGGTCATGGGGGTGGGGTAGGTACTTTCTTTGACCATCACCAATCTATTCTAGAGCAGAGATTCTAAAAATATTTGATCTTAGGACCCCTTTATACTCTTAAAAAAGTAGTACTCTGAAGAACTTTTGCTTATGTGGGTTATATCTATTGATATTTACCATATTGCAAATTAAAATAGAGAATTAAAAAAATATTTATTTAAAATAACATTAATTAACCCACTAGATATGAATATATATCACATTTTTATGAAAAATAATTATTTTCCACCCTGGAAAATATTTAGAGAGAAAAGTGGCATTGTTTTACATTTTTGCAAATATCTTTAATGTCTGTTGTAACAGCTAGATTCTCCTGTCACTTCTACATGCCCTCTGTTGTTGCATTATCACATGTCATACAGCTTCTGGAAAATTCCATTACACTGGTGAGAGAATAAGAGCGAAAAAAGGCAAACAGCATCTTGTATTGTGAAAAGAGTTTTGGCCACTTAGAGCACCAAAAGGGTCTCAGGGACCCCCAGGGTTCTTAGACCACACTTTGAATATCTCTGATCTAGAGCAAAGGTCAGCAAACTTCCTCTGTAAATGGCCAGAGTTCCTTCACAGGAACTCTGTAAAAATGTAGGCTTTACAGTCTCTCGCTTTACAGGCTATTCAACTCTGCCGTGGTGTCAGGAAAGCAGCCATAGATCACATGTAAGCAAATGGATGTGACTCTATTCCAATAAAAACCTATTTACAAAACAGATGGTGGGGGCTGGATTTGGCCCACTGCCCACAGTTTGCCAACCCTGATCTAGAATACGAGCTTGCAGGGGCCCTGGCTTTAGGGCTTGTGCCACAAAAGCGAGAGAACAGCGCCCTTTGACTCATTCTAGCTGGGCTCCTTCCAGCGGAAGAGAAAAGGAATTTCTCAGAGAAGACTAGATTTTCTATTTCTAATTACTCTAGTTCTCTATTTGGTAAAATCTTCAGTCTCCACCCCTTGGCCAGCTCTGCTTCTCCCACAGCCTCTAAGGCTCTGCCCTGCAGTTCTGCTGCTCCTCAGGAAGCACACCCACAAGTCTGGGGAAGCTGTCCTCACCGTCACTGACTCCACCCCACCTCGAGTCATGGGCCCCTGGGGATGGCGCAGGTGGTACAAGACAACCAGGTGGACCAGCCATCCCTCTGACTCCTGAGCCAGGCCACCTGAGTGTCATTTTGTCACCTGTGCCCTTGTTTCCTTTTGGAGCCTCTTTCCCACTTACCCCTGTTCCCAGGGAATAAAAGCTGTCTTTGGACCTGAATCTCAGCTGCTTCCAACTGCTCTCGTCCACCCCACATCCCCTAGCCCTGGTGGAAATAGAAAGTCTCCCAGTGAGCATGTCTTTTTCTTTCTCACTGCAGAGGCTAAGGGGGTTACTCCTGATTCTGGTTCATTTGTGGATGCAAGTCTCCGACCTGATGTTTCCTCTGGTTATTCCCCTTCATCCCTGGTCCTTCCCCTGGCTCTGCCTGCCCCCTTGCAGCCTGTTTGCTCCCTGGCCTGACTGTGCTGGGTGTTCTCCAGCTGGAGGAGGTGGCCTCTGGACCCCACAGAACTGTCCCAGCAACTAAGGAAAACAGCTTTGCCTGGAAATAGCCCAAGGCAGCCGTGGAAAGTTCTAAGGATGGCACTTGCCCTTCCTCAGCCCTCCACCAGCCTCATCCTTCTTTTGTCCTCTTGTCTTCTCCACCAGGGTAATGTGGTCCACCCCGAGGAGCCTGATGTTATAGGCAAAAGCTTGACTCTGAGCAGGGTGGGGTGGGGCAAGCTCCAAACCAAAGTCTCCTCAGTTAACGGGAGAAGCCCCACTGCACACCCAAAGCCAGCTTCCCCAGTTTTATCCCCAGAAAAAGATTATATGCCACCAGCTCAGGAAGAAATTCATTTGCTCCTCTTCCTACCATCCTTGAACTCAACCAGGAAGATTCTGCTATTTGGCTTTAAAAATAGAACACTCAAGCTGGACTTTTATGGTCTTGTGAAGAACACTGTGCTCATGCCCACCCACACCTGGTCTCTGCCCCTGCCTGGCCCTGTCCAGCTGCCCAGAAGCAGCTCTGCACAAGCTCTCCAGGCCCCTCAGCAGAGACTTGGTGGATTTATGAGTTCAGCCTTGGCCAAGGCCTTCTCCCCTTGGCTCCCAGCCACAGTCCAGCTGCTCTCCCACATCCCATGCAGCCACGGCTGGACGTTCTGTGTCTCCTTTTCTGCCTCCACCCCAACTTGCTGAGTCACCCCCTCTGCCCCCTTTCTCCTGCTGCCCTGGCCAGCCCTGTGGAGGAACAGCAGCTCATCACACCAGAACCCAGACCCTCCACCATCCCTGCCTGCCCAGAACCTCATTTATTCTCACAATGGCAATGGTGGCTTCCGTCTAAGGCCATCCCTGTTGGGATTCCAGTTGGTCTGGCCTATCCACTCCCACTCTGAGACACTGAAGTTTAACAAAAAAGTGGTTCCTTCTCTGTCTAGACTTCAGGTGCCTGATATGAAGCTACACCTGATCTGGAAAGTTACTTTCAGTATGTGTAGACTCTGTGATTATTCCTCAAATTATTTCTTCAGGGCCAGAGATAAATTCCATTAAGACTCTATCAGATTTATGGCATCTTGTGGCAAGACTTAGGGAAAGCCTGGGAGGGCAGTGCCTTTGCGGAGGAGCTGGCCCTAGGGAGCTAATTTGTAGATTGATTGTAGAAATAACTCCAGAGCCAGTGAAGCCTTAGACCCAAATCACACAAGGAACCCACTGAACCCAGGCCTATCTTGTTTTCCCTGGAGGTTAGTTTTCTAACATAATGGAAAGAGAAGACCATAATTATCATTCCCTGGAAAAGATACATGTTCTCCTTCTAAGGTCCTTCAAGGGTGTAATTGAGTCTATCACTATCCTTCACATGTGAGGCCTTAAGATGCTGCCTGGTTCAGTTAAAGCAGAGCTGCCTCGGGGATAAGATCTTCTCAAACTAGGCAGCTGGGACTACCTAAAAGTCTCTCTGGAAACTGGAATGTAAGCAATGTAAACTTTATGGCTTAACCTGTAACTATAACTCACATCAAGAAAAGAGTGGAAGGGTGCAGGGCCCAGAGAGGGAGAAAATGGAGTGATGAGGGGCAGCTGGAGAGATCATAATGCAGAGAAAAGACCCCTAAACTCTTCTCTGCCTCTTTGACGTGGAGTAAGCATCTCGTGGTGCAATAACAAATCATGTTCCCTTCTTCAGTTTCCCCCCTGGCAACACAACCCCTGCCCAGCTCTGTTCACACTCACAGCTGCGAGAGCCTGTCTGGCCCCTGGCTGTCCCATCAGCATCCACAGCTGCTGCCATCCTAGGCCCCTCCCTTTGTACCTGCACAGCACTGTCTGTCTTCTTGCAATCTTCAGATGGTTTGTGCGAACCTTAGGGGAGAAAAGCAAGGGGCGGTGCCCTAACTCAACTTCCAACCCAATCAAACCCCTTCCTCTCCCACGTCCCTTGTAGCTGCCACAGAAGAGCCACTGGGGAGTCATCCCCTGGGGACCAAGGTGAGGATTTGCTCCCTGGTGCTCCTGAGTATTCTCCATCACAGAAGTGCCCGCTGCCTCGCCTGGTCTGTGTGCTGGAACCTGGGAGCTGAGGCTCAGTCAGATCCGACGGGTGAGAGTCAGAGTGAAGACAGGCAGGGCCTGGTAGAGAATCCAGGTCCCTAACCTCGAGTTGCAGTCTGGGAGGAAAGAGTGACTGTGATGATCATTTGTCACCAAGAGCTGGTGAGAGTGGCCTGGTGGGAAGGAGAGCAGCTGCCTCCCCAGAGACTGGGGGCTTGACCTCTGCCTCCTTTGTTCTTTGGCCCGAGGTGGTGGCTGTGGTGGAGTCAAGGCCAGAGCACCCCAGGCCTCCAGCATAGAGACGAGATCGCATCGGCCACTTCTGCAAGACACGAGGATGGGAAGTGAGTGATGCTCACCATTGCAGCCCCTCGTGTACCTTGGCACCCAAAACTGGGCCTTCCCTAGCCCCCCTCCCTGGGACCCTTCCTCACCATGACAGCTCTAAGGACAGTGGTCTCAGGCTCACCACCACTTGTGGCCCCACACACTCTCCTGACCACTGAGCCTGGCTGAGAGGCACAGGAGGAGCTGTCTGAGGAGAGCAAGGGCCCTGAGAGGAACCCCCCACAGCGGGGAGGGAGGTGGACGGCAGAGCTGGCAACAGCCAGGGGCTGGGCAGTGAAGAGGGCAGCAGAGCCGGGAAAGGAGAAGCTTCTTCTGACACTGAACAGTTCTGACCCATTCTCTTGCCCAGCCCCAGGCCCAGGTGCCTCTGGCCCCAGATGTCAGTGCTGCCTGTTCCCTCTATGCGGGGGACCCCCAAGATTGTCCATCCTTCCAGCAGGAATGTGGGCAGTCCCAGAAAACTCCAGGTTGACTCTGCCCTCAAGTCTGCCCTCCTCTTTGCAGCCCCTCCACCTGGGGGCTGAGGGGGCACTGCTCCCGGCTAACCACCCCACCCCACCTAGCTGCCAGAATTCTCCACCTAACCGGGCTCTCATTTGTTCATTCTTCAACATATTTATCCATCACCTACTACATGCAAGGGCCTTACCTTGGCTGCCATTTTACAGCTAAGGAAACGACTATGCCACCCCAGGACCCTGCACCAGGTGCCACCATTGGCATTTCAGAGTTGTCCCCATTTAGTCTTAAATTCTTGCATTTTAGCTATATTTACATGGAAGAAAAAAATCTCAAGTTTCAAGACTTTCAGAACTATGATGTTAAGGGGAGAGAGATGGTGAAAATTATCCTCCATAAAAATAAAGTTGACCTCATTACAGTTCTATCCTCAGAGGGCCAAGATGACCCTTCCTTTACAACACAGTTACGCTCTGCAAGCAGCAGCCTGCAGTGCTGCCCCCAGGCCTGCTTGGTGGCTACTGGTCTCCCTAAACTTTGGTTTCCTCTTCTGTAAAGTAATCCTCATTTGGTTCTTGTGTGGATTAAAAAATTAAAATGCACTAAAGCACTTAAACCAGCTCCTGGCATAACTTTAGCACCCAAATAATGTTAGCTGTTATTGTGATGGTGATTATTGTTAATTATACTTTTCTTTCATGATCTCATTTCCTACCCTGGAAAAGAAGAAGGCTCATGTTATCTTCCATTTCACATAAATAAAACTGAGATTCAGGAAAGATAAGTTGCAGTCTGGCAAGTGGTGCATGCAGGAAGCCCCCCTCCTCCCAGGCCCAGGCCCCGTCCCTCCCCCTCTACTGTGAGGGTTGGGGGGCCACCACCCCTCTAGTTTGGTTGCTTCTAGAGTAATGCTTTCTTAGACCACTGATTCCCCAGAGGGAGATCTTTCCTGAGGCAGAAGTCCAGAGGACACCAAGGTACTGTATGATGGGGTGATGTCCCCCTGGAATCTAGGACTCTCCTAGGTGTGGTTTCCTTTCCCAGGCTCCAGCCCTGGAACCTGCTCCTTTTCCTTCCCTACCTCTAAGCGTCCAGAGTCTTGGGACCTCCCTAAATTTCCCTCCTCTTGAGGAACCACATTCTTACGAAGCTGTTTCCAATCACCACCCCTACCACACATCATGAGAAACACTGGGTCAGCCCAGCCCCAAGAGCCAGCCCCGGCTCCTCTCCCTCTGAGAGAGCAGGAAGCAGCTAGCCCCAATACCAGCTCCGCTCAGGGCAGGGGGCCCGAGTCCAGTGTCCCTCCATCCCAAATTCCCTTCCCCAAGGCCCTGGGCCCATGGCCTACCTTGAGAGGGTGTAAGTAGCGGAGTCCACGCAGGAAGGGTGGCCAGGCTGGGCCAGGCAACTCGTGGCCGAGCGTGCGGGTGAGGTGGGCTATGTAGCTGGTGGCCAGCACCAGCACGTCCAACTTGGAGAGCTTGGTGTTGGGCGGCACGGCAGGCAGAGCGGCCTGCAGGGCCAGGAATGCCTGGCGCAGTGTCCTCACCCGGCTCCGCTCCCGCGCAGCATTCTCAGGACTGGCCTCGCTCTGCACAGAGGACCCCAGGTGAGCGGGGCTGACTGGGCCCCCATGGGCCCCTGGTTTCTAAGAGCATTCTAGTGCGAGGTTTCCTACCAGAGTAGTGGTGCACTGAATGGCATAGACCAAAGGGCCTCACCCCCTCTTTGTCCACTCTCAGCCCTGCTCTGCTTCACAGCTGAGGAAATGGAGAGAAGGCCTTGCCTGGGGTCAGATGGCAGCAGGATGGCAAAGCTTGGCTCAGAATCTGAGAGCCCTATACTCTCTCTAATGCTCTGCTCTGCCTCCTCTGGCCCTTGCTCCATCCATGCTCAAGTCTGAATCCTGCTTAGCAGGGTGTCCTGGGCCACAGGAAGCACAGAGCCACGCCCTGCTCTGTAGGGCTGACCCTTGGCCCAGCCAGGTCCCGGGAAGAAGAGGCAGCTGTGGTAAAGAGGAGAGGAAACCAAACCAGGGGTCAAAACACACAGGCCGAAGTCCTGGCTTTGCCACTGACTGCTGCTCTGGGGCCTTGGGAAATCCACATCACTCCCCCAGGCCTCAGTTTCCTTGAGAGAAGTGAATTGGTGTGCCTCAAAGAGCTGGTTAAGACCAGCTCTGACTTATCCCAACCACCCAAGCATGGAGCCCTGGAGTCGAAGGGGCCAGTGCCCCCTCTCTTGGGCAGGGACAGTAGTACTGAGCGAAGCTCTAGCATCAAAGGTGCCATCTCAGCCCCTCCAAACCCCACCTCCCCCAGCTCCCTCTGCAGGTCCAGTATCTCCTTACCCTGCCACGAGCCAGGCTTCTGGCCTTGGCCTCTCGCGGGCTAGGGGCAGCTCTGCTCCACCTTTCGTTGCTCCAGTTGGTCTCTTCCCACAGGTCCTGCCTTGCCCTGCTCAGGCGGTTCCTCTTCCTGTCAGTGCCTGCTAGCAACCGCGGCTTGGCCTTAGCCCGGCTCTGCCCCACTCCTGGCATGGCTGGTGCCCCTCTGGCCTCCCTCTGTGACATGCCACACCCTTGGGGTGTGGTGCTGCAGCCCCCAGGACAACAACACAGTGCCTGAGGGAGCCCTTGAGCTCAAGCTAGCTGGGGCAGGCTGGTCATCCAGTCAGCTATGTCTACATCTGAGGGAGCTGGCGCCAACTCAGTCCTGCTTCGCTCCTTGCTCCGGGAAAACCGCCCACCCGGCACAGCCCCCGCAGAAAGCCTCCTGCCTGCCTCCCAACTGGCTGAGGGGTGGGGGTGCTGGATGCTGGGAGTGGCCAAGCCCTGGGAGGAGGCCCCTGCTGAAGAAGGCAGGAGGACGGTGGGAAGGCAGCTTCCTTCCCGGAGCCTTGCCTGACCCTGACAGTAGTCCTGTGATAGACCTGCAACTTCAGCTTTGGGGCTCAAGTCCGTGGAAGGGCCCCGAACCGCCTTCTCTGTGCCAGAAGCCTGCCTGTGACATCCCTGAAAGGACTTTTGCTCCTCTTGCCAGTGAACATGACGTTCCAGCCCCAGGGTGCTCCCCTCATCCCTCAAGCATGCCTCCTGCTTCCAGCCCAGTTCTTTACTCTACCTTTCCTCCCCGGGATACCTCCCCCAGCTCTGCCAGGGGAAAGGCTGCCCATCCTTCCGGTTATGTCCATCATTTGGGAGGACATCTTCAAACCCCACAGAGCCCAGGGCCCATGTCTCCCTGTTTTATTGGTGCCCCAGTTTATGACCACACCCTGACTAGTTTCCTAACAGGTCAATGTTCTTAGATGGCTATGTACCAGGCACTGTGCTAAGTACTTTATATGTATTAGCTTCTTTATTTCTCAGAACAATCTTATAAGAAAAAAGACTCTTATATCCTCATTTTACAGATGGGAAAACTGAGGTATTAGGAGGTGAAATAACTTGCCCAATATCAAACATCTAGTAAGTGATGGAGGTGGATGAAAACCCAGAAAGTCAGTTGGGCTTGGAAGGCTGCCCCTCACCCTGTGCTGTTCCGCCTCGGTGGGTTACTTGCCTGTCTGTCCCCATGCTAGACGCGAGGTCTTTGAAGGCAAGGACCAGGATGTTAGCTGAGTTGCATCGTATCCTCCACACAGCTAGTTAGGACGAGGCAGGCTGAAGGAATAGTGAGCCTGCCACAGCAGCCCCTGCCTGCCCTTGAGTTACAATCTCTGTCTGCAGCAGAATCATCTTGCATGTCCCTTGTCCCCCAATCCTGAACCCCAGGGAAGACAAAAGAAGTAAAGAGAAAGTACAGAGAGGACAGAGAAACAAAGATGGATGTGGATACAGTGAGAGAGACATCCAGACAACCAGAGAGAAAGGAGAAAAGAAAGACAAGCAAAAACAACCTGAATGTCCGTCAAGAAGGAAGTGATTAAATAAATGTTGGTATATCCGTACTATGGAATGATGTGCATTAGTAAAAAGAATAAGATAGACCTCTGGGGGTCAGCCTGGTGGCGTAGTAGTTAAGTTCACACGCTCTGCTTCAGCGGCCTGGAGTTTGCAGGTTCGGATCCCAGGCATGGACCAACGCACCACTTATCAAGCCATGCTGTGGCGGCGTCCCATATAAAGTAGAGGAAGATGGGCAGGGGCCAATCTTCCTCAGCAAAAAGAAGATTGGCAACAGATGTTAGCTCAGTGCTAATCTTCCTAAAAAAAAAAAAAAAAAAGACAGACCTCTGTATGTGACATGAAAAACCTCTCCAAGATGCATGGTTAAGTGAAGAAGCCTAGTTGTAGATCAATATGTATAATAAGATCCCAGCCAGGATCAAAAACACCAAAAAACCAAAGCTGTAAGTGTGAAGGTTTATGTGCTTATGTGAATGTATAGAAAGGAGACCAAAAAGATGCACACCAAGGTTTTTTTTTCCCTACTCCAGATGCAGAAAATTAAACATACACTTGATTTGTGGCACACTGTCGTCTTTGGTACACACAGGGCCCCTCATTAGCCTCCCTCCCTTCCTCCTTCCCTCCTTTCTTTCCATCTACTCCCTTTTATCCCCTTCCCATTATTCTTCTCTATCATAGGCAACCATTCCAAAGTGTTTAATGTATATTCTTTTGCTAATATGTGTGGTGGTTTTAAAATATGCACAGAAACTCTTTGACACTCCTCTCTTCGAAAGGTGAAGCCTCATCTCTCTCCCTGCAAGTGTGGGCTGGACTTTATAGACTTGCTTCTAACAAATGGAACGTGCCAGAAGTGTCATTGTGTAACTTCTGAAACTAGGTTATAAAAGACACTGTGGCTTCCTCCTTGCTCTCTCTGAGATCACTTGGATCACTTGCTCTGGGGGAAGCCAGCGGCTATGTTATGTAGATACTCAAGCAGCCCTGTGCAGAGGCCCACGTGGTGAAGAACTGAGGCCTGCACGACAGCCAGCACTAACTTGCAACCATGTGAGTGCACCACCTTGGAAACGGATCCTCCAGCCCTAGCCCAGCCTTCAGATGACTGCAGCCTTGGCCAACAGTTTGAGTGCAACCCATGAGAATCCCTGAGCCCGAGTCACCCAGCTAAGCTGCTCTAACCCGTAAATTTCTGACCCACAGAAGCCATGTGAGATACTAAATGTTTATTGCTGTTTAAGTTTGGGGGTAATTTTGTAAGCAGCAATAGATAACTAATGCAATATGTATTATTGAACTGTGTGCATTGTTGTATGAACGAATTTTAAATTTATTAAAATGATAATATTTTATATTATAAATATATAATACAATACCATTTATGTCTTAGATATTGTATTATATATTTCATTGTTACTTCTTCCATTCAATCCTATGTTTTTAAGTCCCTTCCTTCTAACTGCTGCAGGGTACTCCACAGTACATCCATCACATTTTTTTTTTTTTTGTAAGGAAGATCAGCCCTGTGCTAACATCTGCCAATCCCCCTCTTTTTTTGCTGAGGAAGACCGGCCCTGGGCTAACATTCATGCCCATCCTCCTCCACTCCACAGGGGATGCCGCCACAGCATGGCTTGCCAAGCGGTGCGTTGGTGCGCGCCTGGGATCCGGGCCGGTGAACCCCGGGCCACCACAGCGGAGCGCACGCACGTAACCGCTTGCGCCACCAGGCCGGCCCCTATACCCATCACATGTTGACCACCCAGAGCCCCAGGAATGGACATCCAGATTGCCTCCAACTCCTCATCACCCCAAACAATGCTGTCATGAATACCCAGCATTGAATTGCATTGCTCCTTGTGGATCCATGTAAGGTTTTTAATAATATATATCCAGGAGCAGAATGCTGGATTAATTGACTAAGTACTGCCAGAGTGCCATCCAGAATGGCTGCAGTGTCTATATGTCCAAGAGCACTGCACGGGGCCCTAGAGCCCCACATCCTCACCACCACCTCATATTAACCAGATTCTTAGTCTTATGGTTGAATAGCTATAAAAGGCTATCTTGTTGCTGTTTTAATTTGCCTTATCTGATAACTGATGAGTTTGAGCAGCCTTTGTGTGTGGTGCTTGGTAGAGATTCAGTTTTATTTTTTTCACATAGGGAGCCAGTTTTATTTTCTCCCTGCAGGGAGACTGTTCCCTACATCATCTACTAAACAGTCCATCCTCTCCCTGTTTAGTTACAGCTCCCACTTTACCATATGTTAAGTTCCCATATTCATATATAGGTCAATTCTCAGTTCTCTGTTCTGTTCTGCTAATCTTTTTGTCTGTGTTTGAGCCAATATCACACTGTTTTTATTATTATGACTTTATTATTATGACTTTGTAGCATGTCACTATTTGGTAGGATAAAACTCCTCTCTTGACTCTTATTTTTCAAGGTTGACGTAGTTATTTCTGGACCCTGATTTTTCCATATAGATTTTAGAGAAAGATTATTGAGTTCCTAAAAAATTCAACTGAACTTTTTTTTTTTTATTTATTTTTTCCCCCAAAGCCCCAGTACATAGTTGTATGTCATAGTTGCACAGCCTTCTAGTTGCTGTATGTGGGACGCGGCCTGAGCATGGCCAGAGAAACGGTGCGTCGGTGCGCACCCGGGATCCGGGCCAGGGCCGCCAGCAGCGGAGAGCGTGCACTTAACCGCTAAGCCACGGGGCCGGCCCCTCAACTGAACTTTTAATTGGAATTTCATTGTTTCAACGGGTTAATTTGGGGAGTATTGCCATCTTTATACCTTTAAGTCAATCCTTCCAAAAACATGAAAAGTCTCTCATTTTATTCCAAATGTCTTGTATAGCCTTTATTGGGTTTACAGCTCACCCCACGAATGTCCGTGTATTCTTGCTTAAGTGAAATAGTTCATAGTTTTTGGTGCTCTTGTGAATGCTCTTACTCTTATTGTATTTTCTAGTTGATTATTGCTGCTATACAGAAATGCTATTAAATTTTTGCCTTTAACTTGAACCCAGCAACTTTGCTGAGCTTTCTTATTGGTCTTAATACTCTGTGATTCTGTTGGTTTTTCTAAGCAGGTAAAATAACGACTATTTTATCTCTTCCTTTCCAATCTTTATACTTGTTTTTTTTCCTTTCCTTAGAGCTTTTGACCAGTGCTTCCAGTACCGTGTTAACCAGAAATAGTGATAGTGGGCACCTTTTATTTTCTACTCTGTTTTTTTTTTTTTTGTGAGGAGGACTAGCCCTGAGCTAACATCCATGCCAAT